TCATGGGAGCAGTTCACCACACCTACATCTTTTATGAAGATTCATAAAATTATATATAATTTAAAAAGAAATTTTATTGTGTGAAAATATGTTGATATTGTAAAGTATCTCCAAAACACCAAATATCCACGGACCCAAAATAACAGTAACACAAACACATACACACACCTTTGGTTTATCTAAATATTATACAATTGATATTTTTTATGTAACTAAGTGCTCTTTTATGAAGGTGTGTTTGAAAATAAGTTCTACTTGTGAGCCATAATTTTTTGGAAAATGCCCTCCCTGGGCCTCTCTGTTCCTCTCCATGTGATGTTTTTCTCTTTGATCTTTACTTCAGGTTCTTTTAAAATAAATTGTAGTGACATTTAAAAATTGCTTCTATATATTTCCGTATATGCGTGTGCTTATGCCTTTACCAAAGTACCTTTTCCTTTTAAAACTTAATGAGTATTTTATTTGAACATTACATTTTGCTCTTCCTGTAAGGAAAGCAATGCCACACTCAGGTTCCTAAAGCAATCACCAGTATGAGCTTTCGTATAACACGCTTGACAGAGAGCTCTGAATTCCTTTTCTGGCTTACGTAGACTTTGTTTCCATTCCCTTTCTTCTGTTGTTGACTCACATCTTTAGACTTTCTGATGAAAGAGGAGAAGAATGATTCATCATTAGCTTCGGTCCATAGCCTCATAAATTTTCCACCTCTTTACCTAACTAATCATCATCATTACTAATTATGCTCCAGAAAATAAACTAGAATGCAATACAGGCTGGCTTCGTGTAAAACAAATCAGTGTATAAATCAGAGAGGCTGCTGTCAAAATGGCTCGAGTGGCTGAGCCTCGAAAATAGGAACTGTTTTCCCATTCTGCTTTTATGCTCAGCCTGTGTCGTAAGGCCTAGAACTTACTTGAGTGGAGTTGGAAATTGAGTAGCATAATCTAATTTTAAGGGAACTTAACACAAATTAAGAGGACATTACTTGGAACATAAATTCATGAATAAAATTGCTTGTTGGTTTTGGTGAAAAATGATGGTGTGTAGGTCTTGGGGCAGGGCCAAGAAGAACACTTGCAGCCCTCCTCCCAAGCTGTTCCAAGTGGCAGCTCTTTGACAGCCAGGAAGTGCCTCTGGGCAGATCGCACACAGCGCTGTACCCAGTGGAGGGGAAGGAGAGAGCTAGCACTGCCCTCTCTGAGCCCTTCACTGTGTCTCGTGGACTCTCTGAACTCGCTTGACCTTCAACCACGTCATGTCATCCCTGCTTCGCCGGCGAGGAAGCAGGCTCAGAGCGGTGAAGTGATTCTCTCTGGTGTCATGGCTGGCTAGTGACAGCTAGGATTTGTGCCCAAGATTCTTTGTGGCCAGAACCCCTTTTCTTCCCACTCTGCTACGCTGCTTCCCACATTGTTATACGGCAGGCAAGGCAAATAATATGGAAGGAGGGTTAATATAGAAACTGGTGGTCACTGTTTTGATATTGATGTGATGAAACATTTTTGCCCCCGACTGCATTTACATTGCGAATGATTTGTACTGAGCGTGATTGTTAAGGAAAGGTCTCTCCAAATTCATAAAATTGCACGACTCTGTACTTTTTTTTTTAATACCTTTCCCTAATTTTGTTGTTTCTGCTACCTTCCCCCCCATACACATGCCCATCTCCTAAGAGTCTCTATTTTCACCTGACTTCTGCCAATGAGCTTGAACACTCAGGAGAGCAAGATTCATAAATTAACCCTGTGTTTTTGTTTTTAAGGAAAAAAATATGTATTATGTTGGGTATAGAATTAGAAGACTATCACTGTATTCACTGGCACATTGGGGATTTCTGCCGCCGTTCCACATTCCCCTCGGTAGCGATCCGTACACTCTCTCCCCTTTCCAACCCCCGCACACTAACTTCCGCCTGCACCCGTGTCTAGTGGTCACCATACTGGATGGCACAGACCAGGCTGTCTGGCTTTCAGCACCTCAACTTGCCTTCTCTGCCCCTCTTCACTCAAATTTCTCTATTCTAAAAGTAAAAAGAAGCGTGCCTCGATTCTCCTCCCTCTGAGCGACCATCCTACTTTTTACAGCACACTCCATGATCCAGAGACCTCTCCCCGGGTCTCATCTGTTCATCCTAATTGCCACTGTTCCCTTCAGCTCTTTACCTCTTGACCAGTGTTACACAGGACTCCCAACAGGTCTTTCCAGAATACCCTGAATAAATCATCCTCCTACTCTTAACCTTTCTGGTATTTTCCTGTTGCCCACTCTACAGTCCCCTTGGCCTGGCCTTCGAGGCTGTCCCCCCTCCCCAGACTGTGCACAAGCTCATTTCATCCCTCCCTGTGCAATCTCCTGTCCCTGGCTAGGACTGGGGAGTGTGCTTGTAGGTTCTCTGAGTTTTATTTCTTTAAAAGACATCTCTATCAAAGACCTAAACATAAGGCCTAAAACTATAAAACTCTTAGAGAAGACATCTGTAAGTTACTCTAGTATTAAGAAAAAAGTCCCTCAAGCCAGTGTCACAGCTAGAGTATAGAAATAATTCTGTAACCGCTCCTCTTTTCCTTTGCCCATGCTGATTTCTTAACCTGAATAGCCTGTCCCCTGATTTTACTTGACTAATTCCTATCCAGAATCCAGATTTTTTTCTGAACCATCCCAGATTCCTCCAGCTGCTTTGGGACACTGTGTATTGATGTGACAATTGCTTAAGTACTTAGAGGTCCAACCTTGAGGCTGGGACTTCCTTATGGGCAGTGACAAGGTTTAGTTACAAGGGACAAAAATAAATACCACAGTTCTTGACACATAGTAGATATTCAATGAGAATTTGAACAAATGAATGAATGAACAAGGTATTCTCACATTCATTCTTACCTAACTTTAAATTGTTTGTGAGTAGTCTCAGGGTCTGAGTTATATCCTACAGCTGCTGTGGTCCCCAACTCCCAGGCTGTAGACTGCCTGTTAGGGACTGGGCCGCAGAACTCTGCTTCCCCACCCCGGTCTGTGAATTGTCTTCCGTGAAACTTAGGAAAGGACCCCCTTCCCCTCGCAGGCAGCAGGGTGCAAGTGGCAGGCAAGTGAGCTCCCATCACTCCCATCACCGCCTGAGCTCTGCCCCCTCCCCCGGCCATCCATGGAAAATTGTCTCCAAGGACACCAGTCCCTGGTGCCAAAAAGGTTGGGGACCACTGTCCTACAGTATTTAGCATTGTCCTTTGTGCATGATAGATAATAAACAGTTCTTGAATTAGTGGATAGGGATGTAGCTGATTCTGATATGAACTTTCCGAATGCTACATTACCATATTTTACTTTCAATAACTTAATTTGGGTGCTTTGAATACAGCTGAAATATTTTAAAATAGGTAGGTCTTTTCATGGTCACCTAGTTTTTATCAGTGATTACTTTTTTGTCTTTAAACTGGTTTGCTTTTCCTGCATTCTTAATTTTGATTTTAACATTGTATATCATGGGGAGGGCGTGCTTCCTTAACTTTGCAAAGAAAGTTAGGAAGAAAAAAGAAGGTTCATATTTAAGAAAAATGTGAAGGAGTTTTTCTGTTGATTATTAGCTCCACCTCTGAGTGTAGGTATGGTTCTAGGATTAGCAGTTATTTCACAGCAGTGGTTGAGTAGTTCTCCCCAAAGTCATCGTGGCTCTATGCAGAAACACATGATTTGGATGCTTTCAATAGGAAACAGAACGGGGCCACTGAGAGGCCACTGAGGCAGCAGAGGACCGGGTTCCCACTTCTCAGTTCAGTTGGACTAAGTTACTCTGCCTCTGCCCCATGCTAGCACTGTTCGTATTTTTCACGGTGAGGGATGCTTGCCAGTCTTCCCTGACAGCCTTTCACTACATAATATCTGATTTCCATTAGTGAATCAATAGTACAGCCAGTCGTCCTTCTGTACCTGCGGGGGAATGGTTTCAGGATGGCCTGCGAATACCAAAATCTGCAAATACTTAAGTCTCCACTTGGCTCTGCTGAACCTGAGAGTATAAAAAGCCAACCTTCTGTGTACGTGGACTCCACGTCTCACGCATACTGTATTTTTGATCTGCCTTTAGTTGTGGATGTGGAACCCACCAGTCGGGAGGGCTGACTATTTATTTTGAAAATCTGCATTTAAGTGGACCCGCACAGTTCAAACCAGTGTGGGTCAAGGGTCAGCTGTACCAGCTTTTAGTCATGTTCCCCAGTGCAAGCTTAAATAGTAATGAGATAAAAAGAACTGACTGGAAAAAATTCGTGATGCTTTTGTGATGAGTGGGCCTGTGGGATCCTCCTTGCCTTAAGGTTCACTGCTGCTTCTGGTTTTGTGGTTGTTTGGGGTTTTTTGTTTTGGTTTGGTTTTGTCTCTTTTTAAAACCAATAGATACAAATTACTTTGGTTCACATGATTTGATGGGGAAGATAAAAGATGCCTTCATATGCTTCTTATGCATATGAAGTTGGTTTAATTACCTATGAGGGATTAACCGTCCTAACCCATCTACGTAAACTGAGCGTGCTAGTTACATGTTGTATTTAGGTTTGTGAAGTTGTTTGAATCCGGCAATTAAAATTAAAGGAGGGTAAGTAGAGACAGGAAAAGAAGGTCAGAGGATCTGAGAAAAGAAATGGACTTTCTAGGAAATGCTACAGACTTAGAGGAAGCAAGAGAGGTTCTCGAGTCTATTTTAGAAGGACAGTCCAGGGTTTGGTGAAATGTACAAAACACAAACAACTGACTCCCTCTGTACGAAATATGGAGGCATTGTCCTGTTGGAGATATTTATTTCTTTATCATTGAGCAAAATATTTGCTTGCTGTCCAAGACAACTTTCATTCACCTTCCTCTGGACATTGCAGGAATCCTATGGCCTCATGCGTGGGAAATTTTTATGCTTTTGACCCCAGTGTCAAGACTTTTGAGCAATTGGGATGGGTTGACATCTCAGCTTATTTGAAATAATTAATATTGTTTGCATTATTTGTCTCCCTCAGACGTGAATGCTAGTCTGTGAATGCTAGAGGCCCGTGAGCCTGCTGGCATCGGGAAGGCGCAGAGCGGTGGCCTCCGAGGACCAGCTCCTTCACCTTGGCCTGGCCCTTCAGCTCGCAGTCCGCCATGGAGACGCTCTCCCAGGACTCCTTGCTGGAATGTCAGATCTGCTTCAATTACTACAGCCCGCGGCGAAGGCCCAAGTTGCTGGATTGCAAACACACCTGCTGCTCCGTGTGCCTCCAGCAGATGAGGACAAGCCAGAAGGACGTGAGGTGCCCCTGGTGCCGCGGCGTCACCAAGCTGCCCCCGGGCTTCTCCGTGTCCCAGCTCCCTGACGACCCCGAGGTCCTGGCGGTCATCGCCATTCCGCACACTTCTGAGCACACCCCGGTCTTCATCAAACTTCCCAGCAATGGGTGCTACATGCTGCCCTTGCCCATCTCCAAGGAGCGCGCGCTGCTGCCCGGAGACATGGGCTGCCGCCTGCTGCCTGGGAGCCAGCAGAAGTCTGTCACCGTGGTGACCATCCCTGCCGACCAGCAGCCTCTGCAGGGCGGGGCCGCCCCCGAGGCAGTGGAGGAGGAGCAGGACCGGCGAGGCGTGGTGAAAAGCTCCACCTGGTCCGGGGTGTGCACTGTCATCTTGGTGGCCTGCGTCTTGGTCTTCCTTCTGGGCATCGTGCTCCACAACATGTCTTGCATTTCCAAGCGCTTCACTGTGATATCCTGTGGCTGAAGAGGCCACCGGGAAGTCGCTTGTGGGTGCCAACTTAGGGGTTGAGCAGGTGTTGGTGATGGGATCCCAGGGAGAAGTTGGGGGGCGACACTGACCATTTGGTGCCAAGTGCTGGCCTCTGGGTTGCCGCTTGATTCACCCCAAGACAGACATGAAGGGCGGAAGGTGAGGTTTCAGCAAGACGCCAGGAGAATTGTTCTGAGTTTTAATGGCAACGGCTTTGATGAAGATTGCATGCATCCTCATAATCATGTATTAAATGGACTGTAATTTATGATTTTTCAAAATCATGTTACGAGATAGACATATTCTATTTAGATGTCAAATTGTACAAGTGCGTACAATGTGATCTTCTCTAAATGCGGTAGATTAAAACAAAGATGCTGTGTATACAAGTAGAATCAAACCTGCAAATCCATGTATAAAAAATTCAGTGAAGACATGCAGTGCTGGCTTCTTTACTTTTTTTTTTTTTAAATGAAACCCAGTCTTCATTTAGTTGCTGAGGCTTTTTATACATTTCGAATGGCACCCAGATCAAAATAAGTTAAGTGGACAATCGTTTTTTAGAGAAAATATTTGAACAAATGTCTCCAATGTGTTGTGTTCTGTCACGCACCTTCATTTCTCCTCACTTGTAATTAGAGATTGCTACGTGTTTATTAAACAGAAAGCCCGACAGGGGAGCAATAAACCGAGAAATAATGAGAAATGCCTAATCCCACAGGAAACCTGTATGCCAATTTTTCTCAAGCCATCTCACAAAATGAGAATTTAAAAATGTAAATATTGTGTATTTGTGTGTGTATGTATGTGTGGTTTAATTTGATTTACCTCAGGTTGTCGAGTCCTTGTAGAAGAATCCTAGGATTAAGACGTCGTGGGCATGAATGAATCGTGTACCTGCTATGGTGGGCCTCTCTCATGGACACCTGAACCCTCCCGGTGAGGGGTCCCCTACCTGTTCCCTCCAACACTTGCTCCTCTTCTGTGTATTTAAGTCTTGTATTTTGTAAGATGTAAATGGAGGATAATGGAAGAATCTCTCTTTTCTCCCACTTTTGGTGTATTGGAATGGCCATGAGTGTCATTAATCGATGGCAAACCCGGATGGGCATTTTAATAGATGGTCTGTGATTATTTCTTGAAAGATGTTTTCCCATGTGATTTAAACCAGCTAGAACTCCAGTTTTTCTCTTGTGGGACTATGTGAGAAAAATCTCTTGTATTTCAAGATATGTTTTTGTTGAGAAAAGTGGTAAGGTAAACTAACAACTCACATTCCCAATGTAAGTGGACCAGCTCCTCATCAACTGTCAAATATTCTTAAATGTGCAGTGGTCTATAGATGATCATGGATAATGTACTGCTAGTATTAAGTGATAAATTCCTATCTCTGGGTACATGTACATTCAGAAATAGTTGTAAGCATTACAGTTCTAATTCTGTGGAATTCATGAAACAAGTGGTATGTGACAAGGACTCCACTCAAATATAACTGTTTTTATTTATGTTCCATTGATTCCATGAAAATGGTGGGGAGGGTGAGGGGAGGTGAAGGCAAGACAAATAGTGTTACTGGTTCCAAAAAGCAAGGCTAGAAAGTAGCCCTGTGAGATCAAGAAAGTTTCATTTACTTATATGCTAACTGTTATCTTCAAGCAGCACAAAATAGGCATATTTAAATGATGGAATTAATGTGAAATAAAACAAAAATATAGTGGCTAGAATACAAAGCTAACACTGTTAATTGGCATGAGAACTCAATATAAAATTATGAGCTCTGGTTTTTCAAATTTTTCAAATTTGTCAAATAAGACCTTTAGGAAATGTATTTGAAAGCTCAAACTAGAAATTAGGTTAAAATGCCATTTTATTGTGTAAGCTATTGGGCATTATACAACAATAATCTAGGATTTGTTTGGTATTAATAATTTAGGTATCATATTAGCTGAATACTATCCTCTATTATGTAACATAATATACTGTTGGGTTAGTGTCAATTTCTCAAACTCTCCCAGGCTGCTGTAATGCATGTCTGACCTAATTTCTATTTCTCTTGGAGGAAAAAAAAAAAAAACCACACACACAGAAATGTTGTATGAAGAATGCTACATTTCAAATGGACTTTACCCTTGCAATTTTAAGCTATGCCATATTCAGACTAATTTTATGAGTGATATCTGCATACGTTTGTGTATAGTATGAAGTGACCGAACCTGTAGTATAGTATGATAGAGTTCCACTTGTTAAAGTAGGTTATATATAGACACTAATGTGTGTGATGATACAGTCCTGTGTTTCTTAGTGCAAAACTGTAGAGTAAAAACGTCCACAGAACTTTTACCTAAAAAGCAGTCCTGTGCTAGAGCTGCAGCTAAGCAGTGAAAAATTAATCAGCTGTATGGTAGATTCTTGACCTTACAATTTATCTTAACAATAACGACCAGAATCAGAATTTTTTGTGTGACTCTTACTGACATAAGAAACATTGTTTAAATGGATTCTGCCTGCAGTTATTTGTGTACTTGCTTGTTAGGATGTGCGTGTGTGTGTGTGTGTGTGTGTGTGTGTGAGAGAGAGAGAGAGAGAGAGAAAGAGAGAGATGTCTCAGCCTGCCATGTAGAATTTTTATAGGCCTAACGATGTTTTAATGTGATTTGCAATCCCATTGCTCTGGCCTCTGCTGGCTTTTACCAATGACACTAACAAACCATCTACCCCATGTGATGAAAGTCCAGTGACACAAGCAGCCAGAATTCATATTTGCACATCAGTGAAAAGTCACTACTAGAAAGCACAGAAATTTAGAGCTGAAAGTAATCTCTGGTGGCTTCCTTGTACAGATGAGTCCCCCGAGGCCCGCAGAGGTGAGTGGCAACTTGTAATTCTGCAGCAAGAGCAGGACAAGAACTTTGCCTTGCAATGAATGTCCTCTCGTTCCTTCCTAGATCTGTTGTCATCTCTATCTGGCTCTGACCTTTTTCAGGGTTGATGAATACCCTTTACTAACTCAACTATTACTTTAAGGAATTTTTGTAGGTTTATATATTCATTTCAGTTAGCATCTACCTCTCTGGGAAAGGAAAGGAGGGTTGACTTAAGGATGAGTAGAGACATTGAAAGAAAACTATCAAACCGTGTGATCTGAATTTTTTAAACTGCAAAACGTTGGTGTCCACACACACCCCCTTATGTGTAAAGGACAATGAGTGTTGTGTAAATAGTAATCTATCAGAAGCATGAATTTTCACCTTTATTAATGATCTTGACATAAGCAAGAGAATGCTTAACATGTTAAGTAGAGCCAACTTTTCTAGCAAAAAGCATTGTCTTTGGAAAATTTTTGTATAATGACCTGGGGCATAAGTTGTGATGAAAAGGCAAATTGGTTTCAGTTCCAGTCATGCTTAATGATCAGAAAGCTCTAAGGTATTTTCTTTAAAAATATAACTAAATTTAATGTTGTACATGGCTTATGGAGCAGGTCCCTGCAAGCTTAAACTATGTACTGGTACAGCCCATGGGATCTTCTAGATCCACAGTGTTTAATAGAACTTTCTGTGATGATGGAAATACTCTATAACCTGTGCTGTCCACTACAGTAGCCACTAGCCACGTTGGCTGTTAGGCAATTAAAATGGGGTTAGTATGAGGGAGGAACTGGATTTTAAATTTTATTTAATTTTAAGTAAGTTAAATAGCCCATGTGGCTGGTGTCTACCATACTGAACAGCACAGCCTGAATAGTTTGCATGGGGATCTAGCATCAAGGTTTTAATGGAGTAACAGTGAGGCTAAGAAGGGAGTTTGTGGGCTAGCAACATGCAGTTGGCAAAAAGAGAAACATTTCTTTCTGGCCTTAAAAATTGTGTGATCTCAAGTATGACAGTAAAAATGTATATTGATTAAATAACCTTCGGGGTTACTTATTGATATATTAAATACTTTGGGCCAAGGAATGATCAGAAAAGCTACAAGAGTGCTTTATTAAGCCCCTTTTCTGGGATCATTAGCTGCATGTGAACCTATTGTCCAAAAATAGTAGTTAGAAAGTAGCTGTAAAACGTTTGACTTGCAAACTATGCATGATTTGTTCCGTGAAATTGTGTTTAGGGTCTTGTGGCCAAAAAGTAAATGTTACAGAAAAAAAAAGCCGAATGAAATCCCTATTCACTTCCAATATCGTCTCCGAATGTCATTGCTGCATTAGTAAGGTGCAAAACACAAGAGCAAGCATGTTTTGTTTGGTTCAACGTTTTTGTGTCTCCTTGAAGTCTACCAGCTTGTCATTCTATTTGGTGTGGGCATATGTGGGCATCATTTTTCAGATGCCAGACTGAAATGGAGGTACTATTTTTAGAGCCAGATTTGACATTGTTTTTAGTCTCTCTCTTTTTTAAAATTTTAGTTATAACTAAAAGATTTGAAGCTTTGCACAAAAGCACTTTTTTTTAAACAGTGGAAAACATTGCCCATGAAATTTAAAAATTTAAAGGTTACTATTAGAATTACATTTTAAGTGAATAAAAGGAAGCAGAAAAGTTATTGTGAGACATATTTTCATGGAGAGATCAGACTCTTGCTGATAGTCTGCTGTTTATTCCAGTATAGATTTTGATTTGTAGAGTTCCCATCCCTTGATCTGAAAACCAGTCCTGTGTCAGAATTGGTTAGTCTGCTTTTTCGTTGTTTTCCAAATGGAATGTAAACCAAATGAATTTACTTCAGTTTAGCAGAATTGGGGTTGATTTTTCCCCCCAGGACTCAACAATGGGCAAGACTATTCTTTTTAGCTTTAAAAATTATTTTTAAATTTTTCCCAAAATGGTAGTTTTTCTTTAGATATAAAAGGACATTAGTGGTCCAAAGGTAATTGTTATGAGAGGAGTGATATGCAAAAGACTTCAATTTCTATCTTCCCTTAGAAAAATGATGCTACCAACCAGTCAGCATTTTGTTCCCACATGAGAAGTGTCTATCAGTAGATTTGTCATCCTTGACCTAGATGGAGAAGCTGTTCCTTGACATTTCCATCATTCTCAGTAAATTGTCACCCATAAGGTAGTCCTTACCAAAACAGAAACTCTAGAGAAGACTAGGATAGCCAAGTTGATTCTGTACCTGTTTTGAAAGTAGTAGTCTGTTTCAAAAGCAATGATGATCAGTTGCTGGATTTTGTTCAATGTGAAACATTTCTAAAAATGTTCCACTAAAAATAAGTGGAAATTAAAGCCATTGATTTTTCTGACACAATCTACTTACTACATATACACACACACAGTCACATACACGATTTAGCTGTAATTGGAGTTGAAAATCAAGTAAAAAAAAAAAAGTCAGTCATGTTTCAGTTTGTGGTTATACAATGTTGAATTTAGATGTTAATTTCTTAACAGTTGCTGTGGGCTGCATACATTATGTCAAACCAGCTACCTTTGGGAGTGTCTATGTAAACACTTGAGAGTTTTCAAATATATGAAAAGGTGATTCTACTGGATACACTTTATTGGAAAGCCAGTTGGCTTTCCAATAAAGTGTATGCCATTTGACCATTGAGGAACATATGTGGGTGAGGCATTTAATTTCTTCCAAATATCTTATTTTTTGGCCCTGCTCAAGTGGTCAGGGATAGTGCACCATTATTCCTGAACTCCTGCAATGTGGTTCTCATTTTTCTACACAAGTTTCTTTGCTTAGTCGAGTCAATGAGTTTTTTTTTTATTTTCAGGATTCACTGCCTGGGGTATCCCACTGTGTATATCTCACTTACAATGTAGTGGTGCTTCAAACACTCATCTCGTTAGCTTGATTTTATTATTCTGATCTAAGGGTTTTGATACTATTCATATTATGATATTTTTAGGGACAGTCAGTAATATTTGGGGCACAGTACTGAGGGGCCTCTTGAAGTCTGAAACAGCATGCATTTTCTTTGTTTTTGTAGGGGTGTCCCCTGTAACTGCCTTGTTCTTCTAGAACAAAATTCAGCACTACAGGATGAAGGGCTAGTAGCCCATGTGAAAGTCTTCTGTCATCTCCCTGGGTGTTAGTTATTGAGTTATTCTAGCAAGAGTTTTCCAAAGGGATAGTCAGTTTTTTAATTTGACATTTGCTTTTTGAGAATCCAGCAGTAGATGATTGCATAGGATGGTGGTGGAGGAATATAGGCTATGGAAAGAAGGAAATAGGTACAGCAGAGGCCTTTTAAAAAGGAACAAGTTGATATCTGGGTTACCTCTATTTAAATAGTGGGAGAACAGCAACTGGGCGTCTTACATTGAGAGCAACCCAGCTATTAAGTAGAGCTGTGGGAGAAGTAGATACAGCCCTGTGTCTGTATCCACAGACAGGCAGATAGGCCCAGAGAGTAAGGAACTACCAAATAAAGGAAGGGAAATCTGTAATGGGATTATAGCTGCAGATGGGATTATAGCAACATAGGAGCTGAAGATCAATCCTGGAAGAAACCAGCTGGAGAAAGAAGCACAGGACAGCTGGAATAACTTAGTCAAGCACACCTGTCATTCCGGTGTGGACTACCAATTGCAAGTCCGGGGACTTAAGTTGAAGACATGGGGAATGTGCTCAGCTGACAAGAAGGTGTAAGGGGGCCCCATTTTTCCCACCATCCTATGCTATGCTCTGGGCTTGGGTCGTCGGCACACTGGACGATTTCAGAGCTTGCTCTAGCGTTGGTTGCCCAGTTGGTACAAACTCCTGCGTCCTCTTAACTGTGGGACGCAATGCCTT